AGTCGGCCATGAGAGCATCTCCAATGGACCGTGCGCAATCCAGCAAGTGAGTGTACTCCGCTAGACCAAGAACCTGGCCGGCCGACCGCCGAATCGAAACAATCGTAGCTAATTTGGTAGCAAAATCATTAAAAATGGAGTCTAGCGAACCAAATCTCTTGATTTTTGCGGCACTTGGATGGATAGGCCGATGGATCTCGCGATAGGGAACCACAAAGTAAGTCGGGGATAGGAGATGGAAGACTTCAACAAATACGGTCGGAGGCATCGAACCGACCAACTCTTCATGGCGGGGATCGAGCAACGCATCCATAACCTGATCCGGTTGGCCATCTTGGATAATTTCATAGAATGTGGCCTTCAGTGCACTCAGGTCCTCGTGGGTACTTGGTACCGCATCAGCGGTGTGGGGTACGTGGTCATAATGACTGCCACCACCTTCGAGAATACTTGTCGTACTCAAATGGGAGCTTGCGACCCGGATTTGAGAGGCCCTCCGATCATTCGGGAAGTTGTGATTCACATTCCAAGAAGAATCCTTAGGAATGTTGTTGAAGGACCTCCACTGAGTGGAATCGCGAGCGGGTACTATCAGTCGAGTGGGCCCAGCACAAAGAGCGAATTGAGTGGACCGATTGCGACCGCACGAGGGAACTACCAAGTGAGAGCTAAATCTCTCACTTGCAAGTACGAGTCCCCGCATCGAAACCGTTGAAGATATCAAAAATTGCACCACAAAAGAGGTCCTCCGTGAGGTCTAAAGAAACGAAGTTGCGTCGGACAAACTGCACAGCTTGTCCTCCCTCTTCGAAGTCATCTGTTTCGTGTTGGTGCCGCCTTGGCAACGAATCCCTGCAGCTTCTCCTCATTTGCTGCAGTGCATTGATTTGATTGACACGGCCTGAACGCGACAGCTTAGACTTGCTACCCTCGGCTACGACTACGACTAACTGCCTTCCCAAACCCCCTTTCAATCTTTCCCCTCTTTTGTTTCCCCCTCTCCTCTGTCATTCGTTCAATCAGAAAATGGCCGACACGGAAGATGCGGGCACCGCCTCCGTCTCCGAACCTTTGGATTTGGTGCGCCTTTCCCTGGATGAAATCGTCTTTGTCAAGCTCCGCGGTGATCGCGAGCTCAAGGGTCGTCTCCATGTAGGTTTCCTGGTTGTGCTGGATCTAATTTCTGTTCGATCGGAGGCTGATTAGTGTTCTGTGGTAGGCATACGACAGCCATTGCAACTTGGTGATGGGAGATGTGGAGGAGACCATCTACGTGGTAGAGGAGGATGAGAACGAGGAAGAAATAATTCGAGTACGTCGCTTTGCTTCCTTGTGATCCCGTCTTGTCCGATCCCATCTGCGCCTTCATCGAAGCGATTATTTTCTTTCGAATATGGATTTCTTCTGGACAATTATGACTAATATATCGCTTGCTACAGACAATCAAGAGACAGGAAGAAATGCTCTTTGTGCGAGGTGCGTCGAAACCACTATCATCACCTCGGATCCTAAACTAAGACAACCAACTAATCCCATTATCAGGAGACTCCGTCGTTTTAATATCCCCGCAAGCCTGATAGGATTTTGATGGACGAAGTGGACGAAGGACGCGTCGAAAGGCAACACCGAGCTCTAAGGAGACTATTGACTCTCCTACATACTGGATCAAAAGGAAGGGAACTATGAAACCGAGCGATGGCCCCAGAGTGGTGGACTATAGTTTTTATTCCGGTTCCTGGGTCGTGGGTGTGTCATCGACGAAGAACATGGCACTTGTTAAACAGATGTCATGTGCACAGAGATTAGAGCCTTAACATCAGATGATGACTCCGTCATGGCATGCGACCTGAGTCATATCTTCTGTAGGCGACTCAATATATTTTTATGTCATAAAATAATTTACTATTTATTTACTTGTTGTGTGGTCCATGGTATTCGTCGTGCTTCTGTGCGGGCATATGACTCAGGCGGTGACTTCGCCCATTTATCGATAAAGCTTCCCCCAAATCCGCTCCACACGTCTCAGTTCAGCCTCATACCACGTCAATCTTTTCAGCTATTTAACCCCCCAAACATTCCTAATTCTTTCCCTGAATTATTCAGTTACACTCTGCATCGACTTGCGCGGTCATTTACCGTTACATCCGCCTAATCTCTTTGTCCATTGCCGTGAAATTATGATAACACGAATACATATCTGAATGCGCCAGAGGCGAATCGTCACCTATCCGACCATACAGCTCGTATAGTACCGTGTATTAAATAGTCTCATTTTTACAGCACCCTCATTGTCTACAATCAAAGATTCTAGCATGGCCCCGGCTGGACCGAAACTTACTCCGGAGGAGCGGCGCAGAGGCGAGATCGTATACCTCTCCTCCCTTGCCTCTGCCCCACCTGCTGACTGTCAACGCATAGGCGCTCAGCGATTTCGCGGAATACGCTGAAAAACAGCAAGCGCATCGCTCGGTTGCTCCTAGCGATAGCGGCTACTCTACTGCCAGTGTATCCCGAATTCACGAAGATCATGCAGAACTGGAGATCCTTGACCAGCTAGGATTGTCTGACACTCCGAAACCAGCCAGACTAAAAGACCTGTTGTTGAATACAGGTGATCAACAAGAGGACAGCCTGCAACTACTAGGAAGCATCATACAAACACGTATCGATGAAGGCCATGGTGAAGCGATATTCGACGTGGGTATTGAGGATGGCGGTGAGGCCATGGGCTTTGATGTGACCCAATGGGAAACGGCGTTGCAGCGTGTACAGGAAGCGGCAGGAACGCTGCCAGCACACTGCCGTATTCTTGTCACCTATAATGTGGGAGGCCCTGAGGAATCCGAGGTCAGAAATGATCGAATGAAGGGTTCGTGCGGGAAGCTCCTCATCCGGCAGCCAGCAGAAACCGTGGAGGAGATGGCTGAGCTCCGGATAGCGGTTGTGGGCAACGTGGACGCTGGGAAGAGTACCATGCTCGGAGTTCTCGTAAAGGGAAGTCTCGACGATGGCCGCGGCAAAGCTCGAGTCAATCTTTTCCGGCATAAACACGAAATCGAGAGCGGCCGGACCAGCTCCGTCGGCATGGAGATTATGGGATTCGACAGTCACGGAGAGATCGTGACCAGCGCTCAGGGTCGCAAACTATCTTGGGAAGAGATAGGGAAGCGGTCTGCTAAGGTCATTTCCTTCTCGGATTTGGCCGGTCACGAGCGATACTTGCGGACTACGGTCTTCGGCATGCTAAGCAGCAGCCCCAACTACTGCTTATTGATGGTCGCGGCTAATAACGGTTTGATTGGTATGAGCAAAGAGCATTTGGGAATTGCATTGGCTCTGAATGTTCCTGTGATGATCATTGTTACCAAGATTGATATCTGCCCCCCACAGATTCTCCAGGAAACCTTGACTCAATTAAATAAAATCCTCAAGTCTCCCGGGGCTCGCAAAATACCCATCTTCGTGAAAGACATGGATCAGACCATCAACACGGCAACGCAGTTTGTCAGTCAGCGGATCTGTCCTATCTTCCAGGTGTCCAACGTGACAGGAGAAAATTTGGACCTGATACGGACTTTCTTGAACATTCTTCCCCATCGTGGCCACTACAATGCCGACGCGCCGTTCGAGTTCCTTATCAACGATACATTCTCCGTGCCACATGTAGGCACAGTGGTATCGGGGGTGGCCAAGTCAGGGGTAATACACGCGGGGGATACGGTACTTGTTGGCCCTGATTCACTTGGACAATTCACCACAACCACGATCAAGTCCATCGAACGGAAACGGATATCGGTCAACGCCTGCTTTGCGGGACAGTCTGGCTCGTTCGCGCTGAAACGGGTACGAAGGAAAGAGGTTCGAAAGGGTATGGTTGTTCTCAAGAAGTTGGACCAGCCTCCCAAGGTTTACCGGGAGTTCGTTGCGGAAGGTAGGACCACATGCTGTGTCACCTGTGTAGGGTTTACGCTGACTGGATCTAGTTCTCATTCTCTCCCATGCTACTACCATCAAGCCCCGGTACCAAGCGATGTTGCACGTTGGTGCTGTGAGTCAAACATGTTCTGTTATTGACATTGACCGTCCCTTCATCAGAACGGGTGATCGTGCCCTGGTGGCTTTCCGTTTCGTGATGCGCCCAGAGTTTCTGGCGCCTGGAGACCGGGTACTTTTCCGTGAAGGAAAGACCAAGGGATTAGGTATTGTGAAAAGCGTTGGATACGATCCTAACAGCCCTCTGAACCCGGAAGCCAAGAAGGAAGGGAACACTAAGTAAGAGTTTGTGTGACAGGGTTGGGCGATCGGTTGATATGTTCTGCTTGATGGATGTACAGCATTACCACCGCAGAGTGGACAGTACTTGCCTTGCTCTTTTTGCTTTTCCTTTTTGCTTTTCTTTACTCCTTTCCTTGTAATTGGTCAATCTTGCAATGGTTTACATGGACAATGGCTGGGATTTCGCTCAATACGTCAATTGTACATACATGGAGTTGCTGACTCAGGCGGTGTCATCATCGAGGGTTCCAACGGTTCATAGTTATATCATGTCTGACGAATTTGTCCAATGACTTCAATGGGAACAGGTGCATGTGTGTTAGTTTTACTTTTGTTTCTATTTTTTGTCTGAGAAACCGCCCACCATTGGCCCCATGGGTGGATTTGAGGCCTTGAAATTCAGGACAACCTCCCGTGGCGGGTGACGTCATCCGCCCTAGATGATGACATCGAGGAGATGATCTCCTGCACCATTGGAAACTTCTTGCGCTGATCGTCATCGAGCCAGATATGAAATCCTTTGTTTCAATGCCACTGACGTACCGTGGATGAAGCAGGCACTGATATATACCCCGTAGAAGACGCTACCAGAGAGCCAAGTCATCTCGATCATCAACTTTCTCTAATACTACTACTTCACTAAGCAATTGACAAGCAATCTCTTCAGTCTTAGCTCTAACTTCCCCACACTTTATCAAACTCAATTCCATATCCACATTGCAACCATGGAGTCTTTCGACCATGCCTGGCACACAGCCGCCGACGCCCTCAGGCACGACTACCGGTCCTCCGAACAGCAATGGACCCAGCACGGCGAGGAGCCAATCGCCGGAATCCAAGGCAGAGGAACCGCTACTGATCCTTACGATGCTGGAAACCGTCTTGGTGAGTGCTAATACTGTTTTTCAGCTATCTTGTCCAAACAAATCACACGTCCCCCTGTATAATTTACATAACTAACACAAAATCAGACCAACCCGGCGCTCCTCAAACCCAAGAGAACACAGCTCTCGTCCCTGAGGCTCTTTCATCGATTACTCCAGCCGACCACTCCTCGAGTCTCAAGTCCAGCAACAGCAAGGCAGCAAGTGGCCCAGCCGCTATGCAACCCGAGTTGAACCCCATCGGCGAAACCGCCGCAAAGTACGATTCCCAGCCACACCGAGTCCCGGAACAGAGGAGCCTGGGATCCAACCTTGACCGTCACAGCCAGCCTTCAGGTCTCACCCACGGCCACAGTGATAAGACTACTGGACTTAACCAGGGTTCCTTGGCTGGTGCTGGCGCTGGCGCTACTGCTGCTACTGCTGCCTTTGGTGCCGGATCTGGACACAAGATTTCCACAGGTGGTCTCGGAGACGCAACAGCCGCCCAGACATCTGCTCTCCCATCTGATTCCCACCAACATGGTCTCAGACACACGGGTACTCTTGGAGGTGCAACTTCCGCTCAGACCTCAGCTCTCGGAGCAGACACTACTCACCCAACTGGCCTGAGACACCCCTCTACTCAGAAGTCCGGTCTAGACAGGGGCGTCGAGACATCTGGTCTTGGACACACCACCTCCAGCACCGGTCAGACCTCCCCTATGAAGTCGGCCCTGGAGAAAGACGCCCAGGAAACTGGTCTCAGACAGCCAGCTTCTACGACCCACAAGCCTGTTTTCGAAAAAGACACACACACCTCCTCAGGTCTAGAAGGACCCCGGAACCTGGGCCCTACAACTAGTTACGGAGGAAGTGAGACTCAGATACCCGACCGGTCTTCCCAGGCCATCGGTACTGGCATCGAGGCCAGACAGCCCAGCTCCGGCATTACAAAGGAACCAACCAGTACCGAAGCCAGACATCCCAGCACTGGCACCGCTGAATCCGCGCCCCAGAAATCTAAGTCTATCACCGAGCAACGAACCTCAAGCACGACAGCGGAGGGCCAAGGCAGCACTCAGAAGGAGTCTATGTCTAAGCCTACTAAGAAGGGCGATGATGTCGAGCAAGTCGGTTTCACCCCTAAGACTGACCATGTGAGCAAGGAGGCTCTTCGTGGGCCCTCCGTTGCTGAGCCCAGAGAGCACTGGAAGCAGGATGAGAAGGTTGCTAGGGCTGAGGATGACGGTAAGCCTGGTAAGTTATTTTCCTGACTCTCTCAAGGATTCCATAGAATGGATAAGGCTAACTATTTTGATATAGCTGCGGCAGCTGGTGAGCCTGGCGGTAGCAACAAGCATGAATCTTCAGACAAGAAGCATTCTAAGGATAGTTCTCATTCGGGGGGCACTATGGCTCATATTAAGGAGAAGGTGGAAAAGGTCATTCATCCCCATAAGTCCTAAAATCTATGATTGGACTGCAGATTGTGACGTGTGATGATTGAAACTTGATGACCCATTTGTGTATTGTTATTCTCGCGGATTGGTTTAGTGTATAGTCTGTACAATAATGGAAGACTCCTTCTAGTTTCTAAGTCAAGTTCTATTGAATTCTAACCAGTTGCATTATATTTAGTGCGAGGGTATTGCTATGCTAAACCAGGGTAGAGCTGTATATCCACCAAAAGAAGTATGCCCGAGGAGTTATGCTCCATACATATAGGTTCAGACAGATGAGCCTACTCAAACAGCATCTTAATGTCCTCAATCCTCTCCTTCTTATCCTCGTTCCCATCTCCCCCAACTCTCAACCCCAGCGACCCAGCAATATTCATCTTCCGCTCCTGGACCCGCAACATCCTCGCCTCGATCGAATCTTTAACAACAAACCGGGTAACAGCTACATCCCTCAACTGACCCATGCGATGGACGCGATCAATAGCCTGGGCCTCGATGGCAAAGCTCCACCACGGATCCATCATGAACACATTACTAGCCGCCGTGAGATTGAGACCCACGCCACCAGCACGGAGACTGATGAGAAGAACCTTGGGACTGGGGCTTGCCAATGCGTGGCCGTTTCTAGGGCGTGGTAATTTTCTGGGGAAGGGGCTATTAATGTCGTCTTCTCGCTCTGCGTCTTCGATCTCTTCTTGGTCGAAGGTTTCGGTTTTGTTGAACTGGGCGAGCACTTCGGCTCGGGCTTTTTGGGCCATTGTGCCGTCGAGACGGACGTAGGGGATTCCGGCTTTGTCCAGTTGCGGGGCGATGAGGTCGAGGAAGCTGGTGAATTGGGAGAAGACGACTGATTTGGTGTTTGATGGGACGCGGTGGAGGTGGTTGATGAGGGAGTGGATCTTGGCGGAAGTGTGGGCGGAAGGGGAGAGGGGGTTTATGCGGCGGAGGGAGATTCGGGGTGCGGGTTGGGTGCTGGTCGGAGGAGTGCTACTGTATATGTCGTTTTCCGGGGTTGTGGTGGTTGGTGATCGATGGCGGATGACTTCGAAGATATCTCTGCTGCTGACTGGTGCGCGGCATGAGAAACATCGCGGAGAGTCGCCCTTGTCTGTTTGGTGGCGTATATAATCCTCTAGGCATTTTTTGCATGCGCTGTGCCAGCAGGTGGTTACTGCCGGGTCGATCATGGGTTCCTCCGAGCAGATGGGACATTCGCCGCTGGACTCGTTTTGAATCTGTTTCAGAGCGTAGGTGGTGAATTTGTTGGAGGTTTCCTGGCCTGGGTTGGAGTCTGTTGGTTCGGTTGCTGTTGTGAATCGGTCTATTAGCTCCTGCAGGTCCATGTCGTCCTTGAGCCCGTTGCCATCGTTGGCTGCCGCCGCTGCATCTTCTTCGTCTGCGACGATGGCTTTGTTGCGGGTTAGAATTGGATGGCAGCATGTTTGGCGTAAGCGGAGAATCTGGGCGAAGATCGTTGTGAACGATTTCAGTAAGGTACCTGCCTCGATGTTGTCGTTGAATGTGCGTTTTGCTCGGGTATAGATATAATCATAAATCTCTCTTTCTTGCTCCGGGAGTTCGACCTCCTCAATTGTAATGGTCCGACGTGGCAATGGTACTAGAGGCTCCCCTTCTGGGGTTTTCATCGTCTTGGTGCGTCGGAGGACTAGAGGTTCAAGCACGGTCTGTACCACATTGAGGGCCCGTACGTAGTCTTTAGACTCGAAAGGCACGGTGATGAAGGTTTTCCAAAAGGAGAAGTTATTCCACGGTTCGACCTTGAGAAATCGCACTAAGCTGAACAAGTCTTCCAAGCGGTTAACGATAGGTGTTCCAGTGAGGACCCATCGGTGAGTCGCTCTAAGCTCGTAACAAGCTCTCGCAGTCTTCGACAGTCTATTCTTGATAAGGTGTGCTTCATCAAGAATGACACGGAAGAATTCTACCGAAAACAAGCCACCTGGCGTAGCAGTCGAAAATGTCGCAGATGACAACATCTGTCGATATTCCGAGAGGACAACTCCGTAGCTCGTGACGATTACATTAGGAGCAGTAGGGTTACTTGCTGCGCACAGCTCTCTGAGGTTGACATACTTCTCATTACCATAGTACATCAGGACCTTCATTGAACCTGGTTCAGAGGCCTTCAGGGCTTCACTCTCCCACTGCGAAAGAAGAGAGGTGGGAGCGATAACAAGAGTAGTGTAAGGAGCGGTTACCACGCCAGAAGTCGAGGAGGGTAACCTTGCTAGGCCGGAGACGGAGCTTGGGCCATCTGCTGCTTGGCCGAGAGGCACGTTTCTATGAGAATGAACAAGACTAAGCATCTCAATGGTTTTACCCAAGCCCATTTCATCAGCTAAGATTCCTCCGAGACAATGCTGTTCTTGTGCTGGGAAGTCGAGACTAAGCTCTCCGGAATACGGGTTGACGTAGAAGTGACCGAGGCCCTCAATGGTCGGAAGGTTGTGATCCTCAACATCTTTGGTTGGCCACGCATATTCTTCCCACAGCGGGTTCATTGATGGACCTCTGGCGGACTTATTATCTTTCTCCTTGGCTAACATCCAGTGGAGGGCTTGCTTTTGATACTTCCGGAGGTTCAACGAGAACGTCGGTGGAGGCTCGGCCTCTGGCATACTGAAATCGAATGTCTGGGCCTTCTTGTATAAAGTATCAAGTTGGTCTTCCTCTAGTTCCGGGGACTCTTCGTCTTCAGATGAGTCGTTATTCGATTTGTTTTCTCTTTTGTTTTTATCGTACTGTTCTGCTATTTCCACTGCACGCAGCAAGCCCTCCTTCTTATGTTTCAGGGTCATGTCGTTGGCTGAGGTCGGTTGCAGACCGATCTCATCGAAGAGCTTTACCAGAGCGACCTGGCGAAGTCGTAGCCGCTTCTCTTCAGTGCTTTCTTTCTCTTCGAAAATGGTTGTCGATCGATTATCATCGATTGAGCTATCCAGAATGCCAGATTGAAACGCCTCTATACGTAAGTAACACCATAGTTGCAGGTATATTGTGTCATTGACGCGGATTCTATCCGGTGCGAATACACACACTCCCTCGAGCTTACAGACTTTTTGGTCAAGTAAAGTCGATACCCATGCCGCTGTCTCCTGAGGAAGTCTCCCAATTTCCTGGCCGGACTGATTGGTGAAGCGAGTTAAAACGTCACCCCTGTTATTAGTGAAAACCCTCCCACCACGACCACGCTTCGAGACCGGCTGAGACCTGGCACGCTCAATGTTAACACGATCTCCATGTTTAATAAACCCCACTCCACTCCGAGTCGCCCACGCTCCCACGCCGAAAGCACCAACGTATCTCACCGAGGGCTGGGAGGTATTTTGGGGCGCAATTTCAGCCGGAGCACTCCTCCCCTTCCTTCCTGGCCCATTCCCAAATATAGATGTCTGAATAACAGGCGTAGACCGCGTGGACAGCGTTTGTTGGGATGTCAGCATGGTTTGGTTCCTTGCACTACCAGGGGGTAACTTCCATGACCCATCGAAATAAACATTGATCGCTCTCTCTAGGTTATCGCCAGCTACACTCCGAATCTTGCGTATCGTGTCTGGCGAGAGTCGCTCCCCGATAATACTAACGAAGGCCTCCGTGTCAAATCCGTCTGTACCCTCTTCTGCCGATGTGTTTCCTGCTGTCACTATCTCCTCCTGCTTTTCTGGCACTGTAGCATTTTGCGTCGTAAAAGCTAACCCACCCCCTATAGTATCTCCGGCACTTTCTGCTTCTCGATCTCGTGGCGAAGTATAGCTCGCGGTCTGCTGATCATCGTCTCGTACATATTCAATTCCCTCTCCGTCTACAGGAACTATTGTATCGTCAAGCTGTACACCATGGGACCGAACGACCAGCGGCTGATCATCGTGAGTGGAACGAGGTGTAGACGCGTCGAGGGATACAGCTGTAGAGTCAATGGGAGGAGGTCTGGTGTCCACCTCTTCGTCGACGAAAAATCGCCTCTTTTTCAAGGGACGGCCATCAATATCCCCGAAATCCATCATGTAGCGGCCGCCGCTCTAGTATGTGAGAAAAAAGATTCCTGTCAGGGGTCTCAGGGCGCGCAAAACCTTTGATGCTTCTTTGTTAATAATCTGCATGGATGATTGGCGCGGAGGACGCGCCGGAGATACGCGAAATCACGGGCCGACGTCATTTTCTTTTGCTCCCGAAAAGGGCAAAATTGTCAATCCCCTCAGAATAACTTCCATCGCGGGATAGGAATATGTATGTGCCACTATCTCTTCTCCGTCAATTGTCATTTTAGCTAATCGTTTGACGCAGCTCCACCTTGGCTCTCAGGTACGGCGTACCCGCAATGCTATTTCCTCCTCTCCCCGGTTTTTTTAGTTCGACCGCAAAACAACCACCGCACTCCTCAACTCTCTCCCACCACCATATCACCATTCAAAGAAATGCTTCAGCCCACACGCGGCGCAAGCCGCCAAATAACCCGACTCTTCTCCGGCGGTCGAAATATCCAAGCATCCCAAAGAAGACACTTCAGCCACTCCAAACCATGCGCGAGTCCAACAACGGCCGCAGCAGCCGAAATCCAAGCAGCACAAAAATACTGCTCCGACCTCCTCATGTACGTCTCAATGCAATTTCACGCCCCCAAATGAATCTACCATCTAACACCTACGCAGCAAATATGACCGCCCTTCCTACACACTCCACACCTTCATCCCGCGGCACGCCCAACAATTCTACCTCGCCCTCCGCGCCCTAAACGTCTCGCTCTCGATGATCCCCGAAACAACAAGCTCCCACACAATCGGCCTCATGCGCCTCCAGTTCTGGCGCGAATCGATCGCAAAGATCCTCGCCGGCACTCCGCCCAAAGAACCCATCGCCATCCTCCTCTCCTCCGCCATCGAAGACCTCCACGAGCGAACCAACGGCCACGCCCGCATCAGCAAAGGCTGGTTAACGCGACTTATTAGCGCCCGCGAGCGCGGCCTAACGAATGACCCGTACCCCGA